GTGTATTCCACAAAAATTCTCTCAAATACAGCAACGATTGGAGAGGTAAACTCGACTGAAATTGACTTATATTTTACTTAAAACTTATACAGAGAGAGACAGAGCATTACGTGCCATTACAGTACCAAGCTACAAACAGCCAAACAAACTCTCACAACTTCAAAAAACTCAATTGAATTTACTTACAGTGACTTTCCTTGCCATTTAAAGGTGAATAGAGATAAACTCACATTGATTAATCGTCTATGGAAGTGTAAAAAGGGCGAAAGATGACGATTACCGCTAATTCATTCACAAAAATAGATCAACTTGACAGATTCTGCCCACTATGGCGGTCCGGATGAGAAAATTCCGCCCGCTCCAGGAACCATTCAGATTGCAGGATTTGTTGAATTCCGCCTGCTCATGAGCTGAGAAAAAGATAAGTGTTTGTATCCAATTTCAACAAGTTGTAATTAGATACCTGTAATTGGACACCAGTGATCGAAAGAAGATTACATAACAAATAGGTGCACGGAGAACCAATTGCCATTGAGAATTTTGTTATGTAAGTTATCATGATTCTTGCTATACCTCCCAACTCAAATACATTTTCCAATTGGAGGAGAGCGTGTCATGTGTTGTGGGTTAAAAGTCATTAACTCCCTTAAGCAAACAAAACCTCACTAACTCCCTAGGGAAACAACAACTTGAACTTTTGACTCGCACATGATCAGGTTGTGCTCCTTTAAACCACGGCAAATTTGTGAGCCAGCCAGCGTAAAGATGTAACAAAACACTTTATGACTGATCACGCCGGAAACAGCAAGTTTTGCTTCCCCTCGACCTCAACAACAACAACAACAATAACTTTATTAATGTGTCAAATACATTCTAGCTGAGGATAAAAAACCCTCTACTAATAGGGGACACTTAAAATAAATAAAATAAATTGTAAAATTTAAAAACCTAAATTTGATATTTACAATAAAAAGAGACTAAAATTTAACTACATTATTTACAGTAATTCCAA